ATATCCCCCATATAACGGTACCCCCCGATATTCGGTATTTTGATGATTTTACCCACATTTTTCAACGGAATTGTCTGAAAATCCACACAAGGAGTTCCTCGGCAGAGAATTATCTATATAGGTCCACAATATCGTATAGCCCCCATATAACGGTACCCCCGATATTTGGTATTTTGATGATTTTACCCACATTTTTCAACGGAATTGTCTGAAAATCCACAAAAGGAGTCCCTTGTGGGCATTTTACCTCCTCAAAATGAAGTGTCTATATAGGTCCACGATATCGTATATCCCCCATATAACTGTAACCTCCGATATTCGGTATTTTGATGATGTTAGCCACGCTTTTCAATGGAATTGTCTTAAAATCAACACAAGTAGTTCCTTGTGAGTACTTCACACCCTGAGAGAGAATTGTCTATACAGGTCCACGATATCGTATATCCCCCATATAACGGTACCTCCCGGTATTCGGTATTTTATGATTTGACCCACATTTTTCATCGGAATTGTCTGAAAATTCACACAAGGAGTTCCTTGTGGGTACTTTATACCTCGGCAGAGAATTATCTATGTAGATCCGCGATATTGTATAGCCCTCATATAACGGTACCCCCGATATTCGGTATTTTGATGTTTTAGCCATATTTTTCAACGGAATGGTCACAAGGGGTTCTTTGTACACAAGGGGTTCTTTGTGAGCACTTTACCCACCGACAGAGAATTCTCTGTATAGGTTAACGATAACGTATAGCTCCCATATAACGGTACCCCGCGATATTCGGTATTTTGATGATTTTAGCCACATTTTCCAATCGTATTGTCTGAAAATCCACACACGGAGTTTCTTGTGAGTACTTTACACGCAGACATAGATTTGTCTTTATAGGTCCACAATATCGTATATCCCCCCATATATCGGCACCTTCCTATATTAGATATTTTAAAGATTTTAAAAGAATTTTTATTGGATTTTATTTTTTTGAAAATTTTTTAATTCGTTCCAAATGGTGGAGGGTATTCAAAGTTCGGCCGGGCCGAACTTACTGCTTTTTTACTTGTTATTGTATCATGACTATGGAGCATGGTAGAAAAATACAAGTAGATGCATCAACGCTTGGGAGCATTTATATGTCAAAAATTTTAAATGTCTTTTCAAATATAAGTAGATTTTTATATGTTTCTTATACGTCGTCGTTCGGAGGATATTATAATACTCGTTTTTCAACAATTTTTTCAAATTTAAATAATTTTTCATTCAACATTTTCAATTCCAAATTTGGTTTGACAGTTTACTGTCCTAGCAGCTGTGTCGATGCGTCTACCCCTATTCTTCTACCATGCTATGGAGGGTGGCCCTCTGTCTGTCTGTTGTTATCACCCCATCTTTCGAACGAATTTAGATAGGGGGCTAAAATTTTGCAAATATGTTTATTTTTGAGTCATGTAATTAATGTAATATTAATGAGTCATGTAAGTCCAAGTTTTCATATAGCCCCCATATAACGGTACCTCCCGATATTCGGTATTTTGATGATATTAGCGACATTATTCACCGGAATTGTTTCAAATTTGGTATTTGAAGTTCGAAATGGATACTGCAGCCAAAGACAAAATTGTTTGGGATGACCTAATGGAAAATTGCCTATGTCCAGGTCTTCCTATAGGCCCCATATATCAGTACCTCCCTATATTCGGTATTTTGACGATTTTAGATACAATACTCACAGAAATTGTTTGAGATGTCGTATTTGAAGTTCGTAAGAGATGCTACAGCCTGTGACAGAAAATTGTCTGATTGTATGATTTTAACGGATTTTAAAATTGTGTATTCTATTGAATTGTAAACCTCAAGAGAATATTGGTTAGGAACGTAGATTTGAGATGTACGTCTATATGAAATAAACTCTGAAATGTCAAACTGGGGACTCATTCAGTCGGAAATTGTAGCAGAAACATAAACAAAACTAAATAAACATCTAATTATTATTCTAAACGTTGGAAATACAAATTCCAAATAACAGCTTATTTGAGTGGAAAATATTGCCAAGATCTTTACAATACCAAAAATTGAGCTGAGTTTTCACACGGGGCTATTATAGATGTTATATATCATATAGGTTTTTAACACTCAACTAAAAGCTTATGGCTGAAAAATTAGATAGACTATTCAAAATATCTAAAACCGACGGTTGGCGAACATCTGTTATAATTTTTGCCATGAATATTTATTTCTATTTAGAAATTGCTATGGAGTCATTATTTATAATAAAATTGTGCCGCTTACAGAAGTTAGATGTTTGACTTATAATTCTTTGAACAATATGCATTAAAGACTAAAATACGGGCCGGCAACGCGGACCGTTCTGATTCATGGTAATGTTCTGATTTATGGTAGAATTACAAGGTAGTCTATCAGGCCAGGTGTTGGTAACTTGATACGACAATAAAATTGTTGTAATTTGAGCTCGTTCTATATATACATAAAGTAAAAAAAGATCGTAAACAATTATTAATAAAATTACAACTATCAATTTAATATTGAAAAAAAAAAAACAAATATGAGGTGTTGCACGGTTTGTAAACGAACGTATATTAGAGGACAAGCTAAGTCCAATATATCCCACGATAAAATGATACAGGTAGGCGCATCAACACAGCTGCTGGTACAATGAGCTGTAAAAAATTTTTGGAATTCTAAATTTGGAATGAAAAATTATTTAAATGAGTCAAATTTCTGGAAAATTATATATCATACCAACCTCTGAGCGGCATCGTATAAGAAAATCTTGTAAAATTCATTTATTTTTGGAGATATTTTTAAATATTTTTAACACATCCATTGGCATCTACCTGAAGCATCTATTCTTCTACCATCATATCTGTCTTAAGTTAAGATTTGCATGGATGCATTCATGAGTGCTCTCATGAGTCACACCCATACAAACAAACCCATTTTTATACCCTTCCGTTTGTAACACCTCGAAATATACATTTTACACCCCACAAAGTATATATATTCTTGATCAGCATAAAAATCTATGTCGATTTATCGATGTCGCTCCGACTGTGGAAATCGCTCTAGCTTCCGAAAGAAAGTAGGTTGATAAAATTTTACTCAAATGTGTATTATGTCTGCAAGACTTTGGGTATTGAAAATGGACCACGTAGCTCCACGTCTTTGTATAGCCCCCATATAACGGTACCCCCCGATATCCGGTATTTTGATGATTTTAGCGACATTATTTACCGGAATTGTTTTAAATTTGGTATTTGCAGTTCGTAATGGATACTACATTCTAAGACAGAAAATGAGCCATGTATCCACGTCTTCGTATTAGCCCCCATTTAACGGTACCTCCCGATATTGGGTATTTTGATGATTTTAGAGACATTATTTACCGGAATTGTTTCAAATTTCGCATCTGAAAATTGACAGAAAATTGTCTGTGCAGATCCACGTCTTCGTATAGCCCCCATATAACGGTACCCTCGATATTCGGTATTTTGATGATTTTAGCGACATTATTTATCGGAACTATTTCAAATTTGGTATTTGAATTTCGTAATGGATACTACAGCCTATAACAGAAAATGAGCTATGTTGGTCCACGTCTTCGTATAGCTCCCATATAACTTCTGACACAATAGTCCAACGGATTGGTATCGGGAGATTTTGATGGACATTGTGCACTAGAAATGAAGCGAGGAACCTCATTTTGTAACCATTCTTGGGTGGCCCGTGCTGAGTCCGATGGTGCTGAGTCTTGTTGGAATGTCCAAGGTCTGCGGCTAAATATACACCCTCCAGAATATTTTCGCGATCATATTTGGCATTTATTCTGATGCCACGGTCGATTAATACGAGCGGAGAGCGACCATCGGCTGTTGTGGCGGCCCACTCCATTACCATCGCCGGCGATTGAGTTCTGGTGGCCAACCGAAGGTGCACATTAAACTCTTTAGCTCTTTTGAGTCTATTTTCTTTCTGTTGCGGTGTGAGTTATTGAACTTTTTGGAATTTCAATGGCTTTACCCCGAGCCCATTTTTCAATATTTGCGAATGGAATATTGCTATATGTTTAGCTCACGAGCCATTTTTCGGCCACTGCGACGCAGTTTTGATCAAGTCGCTTCTTTACTTTTCGAACCATTTCTGCTGATGTTGCCGTTTTCTTCCGTTCACTTCCTTGACGTCGGGTTACGCTACCAGAATCACGGTAACGAGCGATGGTACGAGACACAAAAGATTTATTCATATTTAAATGCTAGAGTGCTCTAACGATAGCCACTTGTGGCTTTTTAGCCAAATATAAGTATAATTCCTTTGCGATAATAATCGTCATAAGAACGCTTTTAATTTACATAATATCTAAGCGTTGCCCAACCGCTAAGTAACAAAGTGTGTAAAGAGTGAAACGAAACCCCCAGAGAATAACCCATGTAGGTCCACGTATTCGTATAGCCCCCATATAACGGAACCCCCAGTATTCGGTATTTTCATGATTTTAGCGACATTATTTACTGGAAGTGTTTGAAGTTCGTAATGGATACTACAGTCTATGCCAGAAAATTGTCTGTGGAGGTCCACGTTTTATAACCCCCATGGTACCTCCCTATTTGGTATTTTAATGATTTTAGCTACATTATAAACTGATTTTTTTCAGGTTTCGCATTTGAATATTGTAATAGCTTGTGACAAAAGTTGCCTACGCAGGTCCACGTCGCACAGTGTCACGACCGCGGCCAAAAATGGTAAAAACCAAGTACATAAGAGCACAAATTTATTGATGAGAATTGATAGAAAACATTCCAGTTAGGAATAATATGAATATTGGTAGTGATACGTCAAGTAGTTTTGCCTGTACGAGGGTTCAAATCTGATAGTTTTTGGCAATCGGCATTTTTCTATTTTTTTCGGAAAATTTACACTTTTTTCATATGTTCAAAAATTTGAATATTAAAGTAACGGTTATAAAAAAAGTGTTTATTTTAGTTACTTGGGATGTCAAAAACTTGGCTTCACCTTTGTTTGGGTGTAAATAGTGATCATATGGTGTTTACAGTTACAAACACCTGTTGTACTTAGTTCATCTATTTTGTAAAGCAAATCTTGAAATTAGTGGAGTAGAAAAAAAAAGGTTAAAAAAGTTTTGTCTACATTTTTGTTGATTTTAGTTGTGAAAAGTATGTATTTTTAACCTATAAAAAAATTAGCTGCGGAAACCTGCGGTCCTAAGAGTTATTTGCTTTTTTTAGTGACCACCTCTTTAAAAAACTGTGACATATTTTTGGAATGGTTAGAAGTAAAGGATCAAAGTATGTCATATGTTCTGGCAAAACTTAAAGAATTTATTGAGGATCGAATTGGAAGGAAAATGACGGGCGAAGAACACATAAAGGTTAAAAATATTTGCTACAAATTGTCTTCTACGTGGAAAAAATACTATCGAAAGAGGGATAAAGTAGAAATGGTCTTAAAAGATTGGTTTCTTATGGATACGTTTAAATTTGATTCGGTACATTTGAAGATTATTTTTATTAAACCAATTATTTAAAAACTTTTAAATATTTAGGAACCTGATAAGTCTACATCAAGAGGTCGACCACGCATTAACTTTGAGGAAAGTTCATGTAGAACAAAAAGGCGACGTGTAGGTGAACTTGTTGCATCTACTTCGGCGGACATCATAACAACAGCTGCAAAAAGATTTTCGAATGTAAAGGAAACGGACATTATTTCAGTGGAAAAAGCATTGGCGCTCTACGTGGATATGGATTTATCAGTTAGACAGTATAACATGATGAGAAATGCTGTAAATGTTATACATAAAAATTGTTTCCCATCGTATTATGCTATAGCAGAAGCTAAGAAAAAATTGATTCCAGAAATATAGAAGTGACGGAAACATCAATGAATGTACCTCTACAAACACTTTTGGATAATACCGCGAAGAGCATTCTAACTAAACTACAAATTTGTCCGAAAAATAATATAACTTTAGATTGTAAATGGGGATTTGATGGCAGCAGTGGTCATAGCCTCTATAAACAAAAATTTCGAAACGAAGACGCAACAGATGAATTTATGTTCGTTTCTTCATTTGTGCCCTTGCGTATTTTAGATGATACAAACGAAAATGTCTTGTGGCAGAACGACAGGCACTCATCTTCAAGGCTATGTAGACCTATTAAAATACTTTTTACAAAGGAAAATTCACAGACTATAAATGAAGTCAAAGAAAACATAGAGAAAGAAATAGCAGATTTGGATGCTTGTGTATACATTGATAACAGTTATGAAATTATGATTTCTCATCGCATGAAACTAACAATGATTGACGGAGCTGTATTAAATGTATTGTATGGCAATAAAAGTTGTGCAACCTGTGTTTTATGTGGCGCCAAGCCTTCACAAATGAATGATGAATCTATATACCAAAGAGAAGTCAACGAAGAGTGTTATAGGAACGGTATATCTAGTTTACACGCCTGGATTAAGTTTTTTGAGTGCATTGTTCATATTGCATATAAACTACCTGTCAAGACATGGCGAATTGATAGTAGAAACACAATATTAGTGAATGAAAATAAAATCAGGATACGAAGAGCATTAAAAACAAATCTAGGTCTTCTTGTCGACAAAATAAAACCGGGCTACGGGACATCAAATGATGGAAATACAGCTCGACGTTTTTTTTCAAACATTGAAGTAGCGGCAGATATTACCGCGGTCGACAGAAGATTAATTTACAATTTTTCCCTCATTTTGCGGATTTTGTCTTGTGGGAGATTTATAAATATAAATTTATTTCATAAGCTTCTTCAAGATACATGACAACTTTACATCGACTTATACTCTTGGTATTACATGCCAGTCACGGTGCATAAAATTTTAGTTCATGGCATTGGATATGTAAGGTACAGTACATCCCCTCTTGGACTGCTTTCGGAAGAGGCTATCGAGTCATGCCATAAAATAATTAGGAGCAACCGTTTGAAACACACCCGAAAATGTGGTAGAGTCGAGTCAAATAGGGATTTAATTCAGTATTTGATACTACAATCGGACCCTGTAATATCCTTGAACAGTCATAATATATTGGCCCGAAATTATAACATGGAAGACATTAAATCATATATTTGTGAAGAAAATAACTTAAATATTCCGGAAATATGTTCAGAAGATGAATCTGATGATTGCAGTGAGGTATGTAGTGAATAGTGTAGTGAATAGTTCAAAGCTTATGTTATTAATAAAAATTAAATACGAATAAAACGTGTTTTATTGAAAAGAGGGTTTTGTAATATAAAATACTCTGAAACGTAAACCTACAGACAATTTTAATATTTCACTAAATAAGAAGTAAACTGCAAATATTCATTTAATATGGTTGAATACATACGATTTCATAGGCCAACAAATCGAAATTTTCAAGCCCCATTGTATGGGAGGTATACCAAATCATGGTCCGATCAATTCAATTTTTTGTCACTTGTTTTATAGCCCAAATTAGAAGTAAACTGCAGATTTTCGTCGAATTTGGGTTAATGCATTCGTTTTTATATCCCAAAAGAGAGAATTTTTCAAGACCCATTGTATGGGAGGTATACCAAATCATGGTCCGATCAATCCAATTTTTTGTCAACTGTTTTATAGGCCCAATTAGAAGTTACATGCCAATTTTCATCAAATTTGGTTGAATATTAACGATTTTATAGGCTAAAAGAGTGAAATTTGGAAGACCCTATATATGGGAGGTATACCGAATTTTGGTCCAATCTATCCAAATTTTTGTAATTTGCTTTTTAGCCCAATAATAAGCATCCGTACAAAATTTCATCCACCTACGACAACTCTTTCTATTTTTGGCCGCCGTTTGTATGAACTCGCGACATAGTGCGTCGTTGTATATACTCTAATATACGGCTACATTCGGTATTTTTTAGGATTTTAACAGAATTTTTAACGGATTTTTTCTATTTCTTTTTTTGTACGACTCTTTTATCCAGATTCTTTTATGTCTCTTACTGTTTTTATTTTCTTTTTTTTTTAAGCACACGGCCAAAATCGCCGAAACTATATGGTCCACAGTACGAAATCAAAAGCAAAATTAATACATAAACCATGTGCGCTGAAAGCTTCATACACACGCACACGATTTTGATGTCATGCATTTTGACCGTGTGCAGGTCAAACAAAAATTAGAACTGAACAATATGGCCTTACGAATGATAAATTGAAACATATATAAAAAAAACTCCAAAAGGCATTTTGTTCGAAAATATAAGTATTTTTAAATGTGGATTAACGTTTTGATCAGTTAGGGACAAGCACAGGAATTTATTTATAAGTTAAAACTAAACTTGTTATTAAAATGTTCACACCGCACTGGGGTTGGACAAGGGATCCAAAGCATCCCTGAAATTCTTCCGGTGTCTTTTTTCAGTACACTATAGCCGACTTGCCGACTTGCGTCGTCCCGATTTGCGTCGCTTTTCAAAAAACCAGAAAATTCGATTTGCGTCGTTGCAATTTCAAGTTGAGTCGGTCCGAGCTACATTGGGGACTACCATTTTTTTTTTGTATTTGCAGTGCCTGATATAGCATCTTTTCTGCCGTTTAGCATTTTTACAACTTCTGGCAACACTGATCGTCACCTGTACGTTAACAAATTTTCAAATTGCGTGAAATAAGGGGAACTCCCTTTTCTTTATGGTGCTATATGTACATACATATGTAAATTAATTTAATTTTTGTTATGTTTTTTTCTTAATTCATTGTTTTGTTATTTCTTTATAATAATTATAAACATTTTTTGAAGTAAATGGAATAAATAAAAATATGTACGAGGTTTGTGTATTTTTAATTGAAACAAAGGCACATTTATATAAAAAACTAACAAAACTTATATTTGTTTTTGAAAGAAATACAAGAACTCAAAAAATTATAATTTCAAAAAAAAGTATTTTCTTGGCAATTTAAAATTCAAAGAAGAAGTGATGTAAGTTTACAAGTACAAACATTGTAAAGTGTGCACCTACATTACCCCCTTCCTAGTGAAAACGATACAGATTTCTCTTTCGATTTGATAGGGGTGATTTCTTGACTTAAATCAATTTCTGAATTTTCAATTTCTGTAAATCCTGGTTTAAGTCGATCAATTGTGATGTTATCTGTCTTGCTTCCGATTTGAAGAGTAAAATATATTGGAAATCTCTTGATCACTCTGTAAGGTCCATGAAACTTTTGTTCAAGAGGTTTAAGTACACGATCATGGGGACATACATTCAATTCCTTGTTGATAAATATATTTGAACTGCTCTTATTTGAAGTTGTTGCTGGTTTAATTCTGGACATTAATGTTTGAAGATGTAATAGAAAATCATCTGAATCTAGAACGACATTACTTTCGGTGAACATTTGACCAGGAACATGAAGTGTTTCGCCATATACCATTTCGACTGGAGAACAAATAATAGTATCTTTTACCGAAGTTCTTAGCCAAGCAATACTAAAGGCAAAGACCTTGTCCATTGAGTTTTTTTCAAATTTAAATAATTTTTCATTCAACATTTTCAATTCCACATTTGGTTTGACAGTTTACTGTCCTAGCAGCTGTGTCGATGCGTCTACCTATATTCTTCTACCATGCTATGGAGTGTGGCCCTCTGTCTGTCTGTTGTTATCACCCCATCTTTCGAACGAATTTAGATAGGGGGCTAAAATTTTGCAAATATGTTTATTTTTGAGTCATGTAATTAATGTAATATTAATGAGTCATGTAAGTCCAAGTTTTCATATAGCCCCCATATAACGGTACCTCCAGATATTCGGTATTTTGATGATATTAGCGACATTATTCACCGGAATTGTTTCAAATTTGGTATTTGAAGTTCGAAATGGATACTACAGCCAAAGACAAAATTGTTTGGGATGACCTAATGGAAAATTGCATATGTCCAGGTCTTCCTATAGGCCCCATATATCAGTACCTCCCTATATTCGGTATTTTGACGATTTTAGATACAATACTCACAGAAATTGTTTGAGATGTCGTATTTGAAGTTCGTAAGAGATGCTACAGCCTGTGACAGAAAATTGTCTATGCAGGCCCAGGTCTTCGTATAGCTCCGATATAACGGTATCTCCCTATATACGGTATTTTGATGATTTTAGCTACATTATTCACCGTTTATTTCATATTTCGAATTTGAATATGGTAATGGCTTATAACAAACAATGCCTATGTAGGTCCACGTCGTATAGACCCCAATATAATGGCTATATTTGGTATTTTTATGATTTTAACGGATTTTAAAATTGTGTATTCTATTGAATTTGTAAACCTCAAGAGAATATTGGTTAGGAACGTAGATTTGAGGAAAATGAAATGTCAAACTGGGGACTCATTCAGTCGGAAATTGTAGCAGAAACATAAACAAAACTAAATAAACATCTAATTATTATTCTAAACGTTGGAAATACAAATTCCAAATAACAGCTTATTTGAGTGGAAAATATTGCCAAGATCTTTACAATACCAAAATTGAGCTGAGTTTTCACACGGGGCTATTATAGATGTTATATATCATATAGGTTTTTAACACTCAACTAAAAGCTTATGGCTTAAAAATTAGATAGACTATTCAAAATATCTAAAACCGACGGTTGGCGAACATCTGTTATAATTTTTGCCATGAATATTTATTTCTATTTAGAAATTGCTATGGAGTCATTATTTATAATAAAATTGTGCCGCTTACAGAAGTTAGATGTTTGACTTATAATTCTTTGAACAATATGCATTAAAGACTAAAATACGGGCCGGCAACGCGGACCGTTCTGATTCATGGTAATGTTCTGATTTATGGTAGAATTACAAGGTAGTCTATC